AGCCAGTCCCTTCTTTCCCTCTAAGAGTTTCTTGTGATCACGTTGCTTTGTCAGAAAGGCTCAAAAAGAATAATATGTTTATTGAAAACCTACTATTTACTTCTTTGAAAAAGGGCAAGAGGGTGTATTGTAACACCATATAAAACAACAGATTAGGAAAGAGTCAAACGGTAAATGCTTTTTTCCTACTCATGTTTGATTTAATGGAGGTCTCCAGAGTTTACAGATTTACTGGAAAGAGGACTCAGTTTCCAGCTCCTGATATACCTCCAAAGCACAGACACATTTATTGGCAATAATTTCTGGCAAAAATATCTAGCAAAATTTATTTAGGACATGTGGAAAATAATCACTTCTACTCCTTCTATTCTAAAGGTCTCATCTTACCTGTCAAGAGCTGGAGTTAGACGGTAATCTTTGGTTGCTGACAGGATGGCTTTGATCAGATTATCTGGGGAGAAAGGAAGAAGACATTAGGAACAAGTTCTCCCTTCTAATGGAAATGAAAAACAAAGTGATGTAAAGCATATGAAGCAGTTACTTGGAGGAACTGAAATAAGGTTCACATTAGGAATAAACACTTTAACTTGCATATTCCTATTTTCTCTGGACAATGACCTTCACACGCTGGCTGCAAAGACACGTTGTGTGCCAAATTCTGCTGCAGTGTGCAAATGCCTTGCACAGAGTGAGTGACAGGGAACACACACAGTACACTTTAAGGCAGTGGTTTCATAGCCACTTCCCCGAGATTGCAGTTTCACTAACACTTCAGACGTGAGAAAGTATCATTGTCGATGCTTGCTTTCCAACAAGCCTTTATGCAGTTGAGCTGTGAACTGGATGCAGGAACAGAACTGGGTTAAAACTGATGCTTTTTATTATCCCGGGTTACTTCTAGTTTAGGTTCAGTTCCTCAGTCTGGCTTTCTTCAAGGCAGAATCCAATTAAACCATCATAGTTGCTTGAAGAAATGCCCATGGAACCACAGCCTACACTGATACCCAGTGAACGCTGCAGCAACCAGATGGTGTTAAGTTATGCAAGCATAGATACACACAGAAATTAAATGTATTAAATTGTAGAAGCACAATGATTGCACATAAATAATTCTATCTACTATGGAAATTTTTAAGCCTAACTCCTTCTAGATTTTGTCCTTGGTCCCTAATTTTTCCACCCCTCCCTCCCGTAAAGGTCCAAACTCCTTTACCATGACCCATCCAGGGCCAAGAAGCAGCAATGCTTTGGCTAGTTTGGATTCACAAATGCACCAGTAACTTCAGAAAGGCTGTACTGGGTCTGACAAAAAGTCCATCTCCAAACCCTGACTCTAATGGTGGCCTGAAATTCTCTTCTACCATGTAATTATTTTAAAATCAGGGATTTCATGTGTCAGATATGGCTTCTATGTATCTGGCAACCCTCAGTGATTTCTCTTCCATGAGCTCAGAATCCTCTTGGATCCACATGGACTTTCAATCACTTCCCTTTCCTGGTTTTGAATATGGCTTCTCTGAGCTTCATTTATACTGGAAAAGACTCTGAACAACCCTTCCACTTTCCTTGGGAGACTGCAAATGTCTATCATATCCTTCCCTTAAACGTATCAGTTCAGTCCCCTTCCACTTTCCTTGGGAGATGTCTATCATATCCTTCCCTTAAACGTATCAGTCAACTTGTTCAAAAGTTCTTAGGAAACAACCAGTCAAAAGGAATAAATAAGTCTAATTTCTGTACAAAAGATTAAAAACGACACAGGAACATTAAGAAGACTGACACCAAGTAACTGTTTACAGTGAACTTAAATAGCATTCCTGATAGACACTACTTACTGCAATTAGCAGGAGTCCCTTTCAAATAAAGACCTCTGCTCTTATTTCTCTCTCTCTCTGCAGAAACTACATGATGATGGTGTGGGACGAACGCACAAGCTCGAGGCAGCCCACGTGCCAAACAGCTTTGAACCCGACAACAAGCTGGTGGGACGCACAAGGTAGACATACAAAGGTGATAAACAAAAAACTCTGATGGGGAAGTTTTTGACATGGCATTACTGACAGCCCTTGCCAACCATTACAAGCTGGGAACTATGATTACTTTCAGAAGGTCAGTTCTGGAGTGGAGTAAGGGAAGAGGCAATTTGTAGGGTAAAACCAACTTACTGTGCTAACAAAATAGTGGTTTTGTTTAATTTTCCTTCATCTGAAGAATTTCTTTTGACGCATTGGCAGCAGGCTCCCTTCCCAAGAGGAATGCTATTTCCCCAAGTCTGCTGCAACAGCAGTAGGTTGTTGTGACCTCTAATGGCAGCATGCCACAGTCCTCTCCTTGGCCTGTCTCATACATTGACTTTTTCTGGACAGTACACGTTACTGTGCTGGTTTTCCCACACTCTCAGAAAAGAGATCAAAGGATTGCATGTCAAGGGCTGCAACCTCCCATCTACCAAGCTTTTCTTATGCCAGGTTTGCTCTACCACCCACAAGTTAACACTCTGCACTACTTGGAGGCCATCCTTTATACTATATTAAAAAACACATTAAAGGAATACAGTTGACTAATGCACTCAAATAATTCTGTTTTTCTCATCTTGCCAGCTAATTAGTAATGCCTTCATAGTGAATGCTCAGGAATGAAATATGACTACTTAAGGACTGGATATAGCAGCATTTACGATGGGGATGCTCCCCATTCATAAAATCATTTGGTTGGAAAAGACCTTTAAGATCATTGAGTCCAACCACACCTGTCCACTACTAAACCATGTCTTTAAGCACCTCATCTGCCCATCTTTTAAATACCCCCAGGAATGGGGACTCAACCATTTCCCTGGGCAGCCCGTTCCACTGCCTGATAACCCTTTCCATGGAAAAATTTTTCCTAATATCCAATCTAAACCTTTCCTCTCGTCCTATCACTTGTTGCTTGGCAGAAAAGACCAACCCCCCCCACCTGGCTACCCCCTCCTGTCAGGTAGTTGTAGAGGGCGATAAGGTCTCCTCCCCTCAGGCTCCTCTTCTCCAGACTACACAGCCTCAGGTCCCTCACCCTCCATCAGCCACTCCCCATCAGTCTTGGGCTCCAGACCCCTCACCAGCCTTGTTGCCCTTCTTTGGATATGCTTCAGTCCCTCAATATCATTCTTGCAGTGAGGGGCCCAAAACTGAACACAGTATTCAAGGTGCGGCCTCACCAGGGAAAGGATGACTTCCCTGCTCCTGCTGGCCACACTATTTCTGATACAAGCCAGGATGCCGTTGGTCCTCTTGGCCACCTGGGCACACTGCTGGCTCATACTCAGTCAGCTGTCAACCAGTACCCCCAGATCCCTCTCTGCCAAGCAGCTCTCCAGCCACTCATTCCCAAGCCTGTAGCGTTGCATGGGGTTGTTGTGACCCAAGTGCAGGACCCGGCACTTGGCCTTGTTGAGCCTCATACAGTTGGCTGCAGCCTACTGATCCCGTCTGTCCAGGTGCCTCTGCAGAGCCTTCCTACCCTCCAGCAGTTCAACACTCCTGCCCAACTTGGTGTCATCTGCAAACTTGCTGAGGGTGGACTTGATCCCCTTGTCCAGTTCGTTGATAAAGATATTAAACAGAACTGGGCCCAACACTGAGCCCTGGGGAACACCACTTGTGACCATCTGCCAACTGGATTTAACTCCATTCACCACCATCCTTTGGGCCCAGCCATCCAGCCAGTTTTTTACGCAGCAAAGAGTATGCCTGTCCAGGCCATGGGCAGCCCGTTTCTCAAGCAGAATGCTGTGGGAAACAGTGTCAAAGGCTTTACTGAAGTCCAAGTACACTACTAAGCAGGTCACCTTGTAATAGAAGGAGATCAGGTTGGTCAAGCACGATCTGCCTCTCATAAACCCATCTTGACTGGTCCTGATCTGGTTGTCCCGGACATGCTGTGTGACGGCACTCAAGATGATCTGCTCCATGACCTTCCCCAGCACTGAGGTCAGGCTGACAGGCCTGTAGTTCCCCAGATCCTCCCTCTGGCCCTTCTTGTAAATGGGCATCACATTTGCTAACCTCCAGTCAACTGGAACTTCCTTGGTCATCCAGGACTGCTGACAGATGATGGAAAGGGGCTTGGTGAGCACCTTTGCCAGCTCCCTCAGTATGCTTAGTTGTACCCTGTCCTGCCCCATAGACTTGTGTGTGTCTAATTGGCCAAGCAGGTCATTAACCATTTCCTCTTGCATCATGGGAGCTTTGTTCTGCTCCCTGTCCCTGTCTTCCAGCTCAGGGGGCTCCCATCATCCAGAGAGAAAACACAAACAAACCAAACAACAATATAGGACATTCAATACAGATTATGAATAGCTAAATAGGAGATACCTCTTCAGCAGCCCCCACAGTCCAGCAACACATGGCATCCAAGAGGTTTGGAAGTTGCACGAATCACAGTGTTATCATTCAAAACTGCTGAATGAAGCTCAATAAAAGACAAAGTACTTCACTGCCAGGTGTTGAC